TTTGTTGATGGGACAAGATGGGCGACCACCTACCTGCCTGGATCCTAACTTGCCTCCAGGAAGGCTGAGGTTGTGGGAGTTCTGCTCCCTTCTCCATCGCGCTTGTGCTTGGTGTTAACTGGTAGGTTCCCCCACCACAGCAGGGCTTGTAACTTACGCACGCTTATTGCGATGGCCAATCTCTGCAGGCAGTTATGTGGTTGTTGGGCACGGTTCATGCTCAGTGGACTGCATTCCTGATGCCGCACCCAAATGCGCTGGCTCAAGAATGCTCCTCCCAACAGATTCTGTAGATCCCTCCACACTCGACACCCTGTCCAACCCCTCCCTGCTTTGGTATCATCGACCCAATCCTTATCATCACCCAATCCCAATCTCGGAGATCCTTTCGGTACTCTAACACCCCATTGATAATGCGGCCTCCAACATTGATTTGAGTCGCACTGCTGTGCGCACAGATGCCAGTGTGTTGTCAGTTGTGGCTTGGTGTTCATATCTCTCTCCGCCTCCCGAGTCGTCGCGCCCACCATTAATGCCGTCCATCATTTAATTGTTGTTTAATGTTCTCATTTCACAGGACTAATCACAGGACTAATCACAGGACTAATCACAGGGCTGTGGTCAGACCCAACCCAGCTCATGCCGAGGTTTCCTCTGTCCAATCATATCCTGCCGCTCCTGTCCACTCTGTCAGGGCTCAGTCCTCGATCAGGGACAGCCCGACCTCAGGCCTGGGTGTCTGCGGTGTTCCGGGTGGTTGGGCGCTAGACCCTGTCCTCAGCTCCTCAAACTCACTGAAGGGACTAAGCAGGGATTGAGTTGTCATGTATTACAGAGGGTAACTACAACTTGCCTAAGCAGGGATTGAGTTGAGAAGAAGGGTAAGTTTCCCTATTCCCCGCTTGGCTACTATAAAAGGGAAGTGTACTGTACAGTTCATAACGTGACTCCGGGTAGAAGCCGAGCATGTTCCCGCGACTCGGAAAAGGTGTCACATGGGTTAAGGCGAGTTGCTCGCCTTGACCCACGTGATTTTTCCTGCGGGCTCACATGCGGGCTGAAGTTGTGAGAGATGGGGAGGTCAGGGAAGTGGGGGAAGTCTGGGAAGGTGGTTCTGGAGTGTGGTTGGGTGCCCTGACAGTGGGGTCAGGGGCCGATCCCTGACACACTCCCTTTTACCGCTCCTACCATTCACGAGTTGCCGCGCAACCTGACTACTCAATGAGTCTAGGTTTCTGCTTGGGTTTTCTGGCACGGATGCGCGGAACAGACCACATCAGCGGAGGTATGTACTGAACCTCCCTCACCACGAGAGTGCTCACAATTAGTCCAGGCCACACTTATAAAAAGCGCCTGCACCTTTACTTTCCCCCCTCTCTATCTCCTGGACTCGTGCCTCTCTCGGTGAGTAAGGCCGCTTACTGCTTTGTCTCCAAACTCTTACTCGTGCATTGTCGCTGCTGTTTCTGCTGCTGCCGCTCTCTTGACTCCCAGAATCGTCCATGCCTGCTCAGTAACTTCCTTTGCTTGTTTTTGCATTTCCCACCACCTCCCCTCTCTCCACCGTTTCATCTTTCCATTTCCACTCCTAATGGAGTTCACAAACTTTCTGGTTCACTGACTCTTCTCTCTCTTGACTTGCGCTGTACTTTGTACCTCTCTGTCTCCGTTTCCTTCATCTTTTTTGTCTCCATCTATTTTTCCGCTTTTCCTTTTTCCTTTCTGTATTTTGTTGTGCGTTCTACTCTGTATATGGACAAACAGGTCACGCATGGCTTGCTGCACTTTGCCTAATATACACTGGGCCACTTGGCCATCTCCCACTACAACTTCAGTATCACTAATCACAGGTTAGCAGTCTGCCCCCAGCTGACCTCAGGTTTCCGCCCCTGTTTGCCACTGGCTGGGAAACCTGGCTGCGCCCAGTCGAGACCACTTTGGCCTTCCCCTCATCGATCACGGATTTCTCGTGATTTATCGTGCAACTTAGCCTGAACAGGTCAAAGCATGCTGCCTCAGCTGAATGTTCCAGCACAGAGGCGCGAAGCGGACCATTCAGTGGAGGTACATACTGAACTTTCGCTGTTGAGGAGAGGTTTAAATACTACCTAGGTCGTGCCTATAAAAGGGCCTGGTATCTCGTGCTCCCCTGGTACGCTTTTGACCTGCTGCCGCTGCTGCCACCTACACATTACTCTATCCCGGATTTGCAGCTGCCAATACCGCGATTCTCAACTACATTCCCATTTGCTCCAGCTCCTAGCCTGTTTTCTTGTCTCCCTCCTCCTCCCCAATACTCCTCCTTTGCCGTCTCTTCTTTTGAATACATTGTCTGTTACTCCCTTTTCTTCATTGTATTTCATCTCTGTACATTAGCTTCTGTTTGCTGTTTTAGTTTTTACGGCTCTCAATTTGGCTGTCATCAGTTCTAGTAGCTTTGTGCTTTCCCTTTGTATGTATGAGAACACACGTCACGCATCGCACACATGCAGCTAATTTCACCACCTGCATGCTTGTCAGCTGTTGTTTTCATCATTACCCTCCTTTTTGTATTTACCAGCTCAAGAGGCTTCGACATCCTGTCGGGGCCGTTGCTACGCTAGTCTTTGCGAAATAACGTATTTGTATCCTGGCTCATGTCCATTGAGATAGCCCACACCAATTTGATAAATAATATATTTAACAAGGGACAAAAGAAAGAAAGGTATCGTGGACTAGATACCAGGCAGTCCACGTCACAGGAGATCACTGATCAAGGTGGGGGTGGTGTTCACGGAATTTTTTCTGTCCCTGCATCCCATAGATAGCGCCCAGGTCCTTCGGTCTTGGGATGTGCTCATGTGCAAATACCTGTCTATCAGAAAAAATGCAAAAACCATTCACCCTTTGCCAACCCAGCCCCCAGCCTCTTGATCCCCACTACAGGCTGATCCAATCCGGCACCACGAATAAAGAAAAGATCTCCAGGATGGGAGGGGAAAGAGCAACCCAACTCTCTGAAATGGAGATTTCCTCCCTCGTATTCTCCAAATACGGCTATTGCATCAAAGCCACACCAGGCAGATCTCCGATCCTTGTGGCACCGAATATCCACATTGAAATGGACCATCTGGCCAAAGAAATGGGACTTGATTTCAGATAGGAAACCCTCGTGATCCCGGTGCTCCCTTTCCCATACTTGATCGCTCTGTTTTGCCAATGACGGTGCAATCCTCTCAGTGTACATGTTGAGGATGTGGTAGAGTGGCTCGCATTTCTTTTGGAAGGGGTGATTATGTTCTTTCTCCTTTGAATCGGTGGAGATTCGAGGCGATATTTCCTATGGGAATATATTTAATTTAAATAATCAAGAAAACAATCAAAACTCATGTAGTGACCCTGTTGGTGCCAGTAACTTGGCCTTTCTGGAATAGATCCAATGATGGAACAAAGTGGTTCCGGGATTTCTTCTTGTCGAATTTAAAATTTTGATTGAACTCGCGACCAGCATTCAAAATTTCCTCCTTGGAAATAATCAGGTGAGTTTTGCAGCCAAGGATATGAAAACATACATGAATTGGGCTAAAAACATTTGGGATCCATATAGCCAGCAGGTTCCCTGACCGATCCTCAATGGCCACACCAGCCTCACTCTCAAGTAGGGTCCGGGGATGATTTGAGGAGAGAGGAGGGAGCTTGAGGTCCTTTGGATGTGACTGGCTCTTTGCAGGCGGAACAGCCCCATCATTGTGGCTTGCTATGTCGGCATAATCGAAGTCGGGTTTTACTATTTTGGGTTGCATTGAGAGAGAGGGTAAGAAATGGTATTAGGAACATACTTGTGTTCGTCATGGCATTACAAATATTGATATCTACTTTGCTCTCTGCCACCTCCACAATATGCCGGATCCGAGAGTCATCGATACCCTTTAGGCGCTCCTTGTGTGCTCTCTGGGACTCAAGTCTAAAATAAAGGTAGGTGGTTGATATCAACAAGGGATGAGATAACTCAACTCGGGATTTACGATGAACCGGACTGGTGCAATATTGGCCTCTCGATATTGGTCACGCTTCTGCTTCTTCTGCTTCTTTGTCTGTCGCTTTTCCTTGTGTGCTTTCATGGTTGTTGGTATTAAAACTGTGTTGATAAAATGTCTATGTATGCATGGAGAACTGAAAAAAAAAAAAGGGAAACAATTCAAAAGAGTATTGAATGGCTATAGGCATAAGTCATGTTATCATATAGCCTCTCAGGATATTTCTGAAAGAGATGCTTCATGGCGCTCCCCCAGCAGTTGGCTCTCAAACTATGTATGCACACTGCCCCAGTCGAATTATGGCAAACATTCAAGCTGCCTTGATGCTATACTGTTGGACATGAACGTTATTTAACACAAGACTGATAAAGTAAAACGTATAAGAGGAAATGGAGTTTATCACTCAGTCCCATTGTACGTGAACTAGAATAGATTGTAGAATAATCACCTAGCAAGTTTATCGCTGGTGTACAAGTATTTAATACATGATTTGTGCGAGATAGACAAGAGATAACGAAGTCACCTCAGTCCCATTGTACGTGAACTGAGGGAAGGTTGGGTTGTCCAAAAATTGGGTTTTTATAGTCAGGCACCATGAATGTGCACTGACTTTGGCACCAATGTGACCACGAAAGGCAAAAGGTGAAAATCTAAGACGCCACATGACTCAACATCAACAAACATGAAAGCATACACCATAATACCGAGAATTCTAACAAAATGTTTCCCTTCCAAATCCGCACTGGCAACCTACCTGGAAAACCGGATCTCTTTCATGAGCTACGATAGCGAGTCACCAAACTAGCCACAAGATTTCTTGTCGGTTGTGGATGATAAGTGTAAGTGCCTTGCAATATACGATGTTCACTTGCTTACTTATCGTGTCAAACTTCTAACCAAGCTCATTATCCATAAAGAGTTAGAAGAACAGAGCATTAAGGCCAAGCAGGTATGAGAGAGAGAAGGTGAGTGGGCCACAGAACTATGGTGGAACACGAGCAAGATTGGATCACAGTGGCAAGGCCCCATGATGGTGAAAATATTCTGGGTGAGTTGCTCACCCAGAGTGTTCCCACACTTGTGGCTGTGATAGTTTCTGGGCAAGTTGCTCGCCCAGAATGTTCCCACACTCGAACAATCACCATGTTTTTGACTGGGAGGTCCCTCCCACACTTCAAAAAGAAGTCTAGCACCCCGGCTCCTGCAACCAAACATTTATCCTTGAGTGTTATGGCCCCATGGGTCTCTCTACCAGGTGATGATGTGCCTTTGCCTCTATTGCTCCTCGATGCTTGGGTGGCCCAGTGCCAAATCAGTTTGAAAGGTGCTTGGTTTTTCCCTCAGGTATGCATGCAATTGACTTCAAGGTTATATTTTTCCATGATTTCCAATTTTTTTTTAGGCACAAGATTTGATGGTCTGCGAAATCATTGTGCCATTGGATCGTTGGTGGCAGGACCAACTACTTGTAGTGTTTCGGTGTCGATTTCCAGAGGGAAATCTTGGCGATAAGGCAGGTTGGACAGTCTCTGTCTGTGAGCATGGAAGCCAGAGCGCTCTAGAGCTAGCAGGTATGCATCGTGCAGTATTAACATGATCGCGTCTTCATTCCTGCTCACGTTGTGACTAGGCTACATCGATCTATTTCGTGTTTATACTAAATTCACGATTCAAGAGGGCTGCATTAAGTATGTGGACACAATGAAAGATATCGATGCACAAGCTTTACCCTCTTGATCGATCTCATTTTTGAACGTTCCACCCACCCAGCCCAATGCCTCCCACGACGCTATGAACCCACCTTTGGTGGAGCTGGAAGATTTGAGTGCATGGGCGGAATGTGGGATTATATCTCAACTATCGCACAATGATGCCATCCATGTATTTTGTCCTCCCAAAGTTCATCTTTCAACGAAACTGTACAATATTTTTCACATTTAGCTTGTATTTATTTTGTGTAGACAATCTATAATCGTCGTGGTCGTGGAACACTTTGGATTGTCAATTAAATCGTCTGATTTGTCTCTCATCACCTGACATTCACATGTAGATTGTTTGATTCGTCATGATTCCCATTCCCTGATGATTCTCAGTACTCTCACCACCTCACATTAACATGTCCGTGATGCCACCCAGTCGCTGTGCCTTGCCATCTCCAGAATGCCGCATCTCCAACTGAGAGCCGCGGACAGCGCCTTGCACCTGCTCACTCCACTGATGCGAGACATGAGTGACTTGGCCATCCACGGCGTCGCCCAATCCTTTCTCCCTGATTACGATCACATTTACTTTGTACAGCCTTCATTTTTTTTTTGGCGTGTGTACAGTGTGTCTGGAAAGCAGGGAAGTTCTAGTGACTTTCTGCTATTACGGAGATACTGAACGTGCCACGCATTGCAACCATCGGCACTGTGTTTTCACGTGTGTCGTTCACCTCCTCTTCGTCACTTGGGTAAACAAACTCCCTCACTTGGATCAATCCCATTGAAAATGATGACGACGTTCTAATCTCTTGCCACTCACATCTGCAATTGGCCATGTCCCTCCATCCAGAAGCCATCCGCTCTAGGCTTCACTGTTCTCAGAGGCAACGTTAAGTAGGTACAACCCATCTGCAACAACCCACTGTTAAACCCTTTGTGTGCAACCAAGTGCTACAATATCGGACAGTCGACTTTGGCCCTATATCACCTTTTCCCGATCGATTTGATTGGCAACAGAATCCGTGTACATGGTGTGGGGCTCTCCTTCTGGAAAGCAAATCTATCAAATGGTGTTGTTCCAAACTACTATCCCCTCTTCCTCAATTACCTCCTATGTTCCTCACAACATGTCTTGGGCGAATTCCAATACCCTGGCTACGTCAAACTGAATGGCCAAGCATTTTGGGTCCGATGAAGTCCCATGGGGTGGTGAAGCCACATTTCCATGACACGCTTTTCCCATGAAAAAAAAATACAAACCCCCAAACACCTTGCAAGCTCAGCTAATTCTACCGCAAATCATCCCGATGTCATGAAATGCAGTGTCAACCCTGGGTTCGGCTCGTGATGCAGCATTCTCACAAACTGCAGAGCCTGCTGCTCCAGCTGGACGCTTGGTAGGCCCCAATGCACTGGCGGAAACGGTATGAACAAGGATCAAAGATCAGCACTGTCGAACGTCGACTGAATTACTGTAGGGGCTTGACACTCCGCTAACCTGGACCACGTCTGGGACCTTCATACCATATAACCACACGGGACCTTCCAGTGCCCTGCGTCGGACTGTGCAAGAGTGGATGGCTTGCACGCATGCAGTTCCAGATCTGCCTTCTTCACTGAATTTTATTGTTTGGTGTCTCTAAGCATGTTTCCAAGGAAGATCAACACCAAGGTCAGTCAGTTCAGTACTGTGCATGTAGGGTACAACAGGGAAAATGGGAACAACAACAAGGTAGGTGGCCCTGTGTTCTATCTAATCACAGTAGGTATTATGAATCATAATACTTGTGCCATGGCGATTTTTTGGTATCATAAAAAAGAGAAAAATCACACCTTTCCAACGGTGTAACGGGAATGGAAGTCCGGTAAACGGTTCAGGAGTTATGGCCAATTCATTGTCGTGCCCAGTTGTGCCCTAGTTGTGCCCTATCGTGCCATTGGCCAGTACTCGGCCAGTTCTCAATATTATGAAATATGAACGAGTGTCCAAAGGCCGTATGGATCTCCTCTACAAGATGCAAAAAACCCCGAGTGAATAGCTGCCACGGTTACTGAGTTATTGAGGAAACAAAGTTGTGCCCTATCTAATCACAGTGGGTATTATGAATCATAATACTTGTGCCATGGCGATTTTTTGGTATCATAAAAAAGAGAAAAATCACACCTTTCCAACGGTGTAACGGGAATGGAAGTCCGGTAAACGGTTCAGGAGTTATGGCCAATTCATTGTTGTGCCCAGTCGTGCCCTAGTCATGCCCTATCGTGCCATTGGCCAGTACTCGGCCAGTTCTCAATATTATGAAATATAAACGAGTGTCCAAAGGCCTTATGGATCTCCTCTACAAGATGCAAAAAACCCCGAGCGAATAGCTGCCACAGTTATTGAGTTATTGAGGAAACAAAGTTGTGCCTTGAGTTTCAGTGTTTGAGTTTAAGTTGAGAATTGATTTGTTTGGGGTGTATAGCATATCACAAGATAGGTATTGAAAATATATACACGATGCAGAAAACCTTGAGTGAAACGGGTCACTCGTTGTGAAGTTATTCAAGAAATAAAGTGTGAACATGGGACCAAGGGCACGAGTGGAGGGCACAAGTGTGTTTATTGAATAGCTCAAGAACGAGAGCAGCTATTGACCCAGGGTCTTTTGCATCCGGTGGAGATTATAAATACGGCCTTTGGAACATTAACGGTGCCTGATAATACTGAGAAATGGGGGAGAAAACAGCAATGGCACAAGTAGGGCACGATTAACTTGTGCCCAATCGTGCCATGGACCATTACTCATCCATTTGTTGGTATTATCAGGCTTTACTAAATGTCCAAAGGCCGTATGGATGTCCTCTACAAGATGCAGCAAACCCGGAGTGATTAGCTGCCCTGGTTACCAAGTTATCAAGGAAAGAAAATAGTGTGCCAAGTTGTGCCCTATCGTGCCATTGGCCAGTACTCGGCCAGTTCACCATATTATGAAATATAAACGAGTGTCCAAAGGCCGTATGGATCTTCTCTACAAGATGCAAAAAACCCCGAGTGAATAGCTGCCACGGGTACTGAGTTATTGAGGAAACAAAGTTGTGCCCTGAGTTTTAGTGTTTGAGCTCAAGTTGAGAATCGATTCATTTGGGGTGTATAGCGTATCAAAAGGTAGGTATTGAAAATCTATACACGATGCAGAAAACCCTGAGTGAAACGGGTCACTGGTTGTGAAGATATTCAAGAAATAAAGTTCAAACATGGGACCATGGGTGTCATATCCATGCATACCCGACCCCAACCCGACTTCCGGACCTCCACCCTCTTCACCTCCGGAGTCATAACCTACCGCTGCCGTTCCGATACTCACCTTCGGTCCTGGCAACACACCTCCTTCTACCCCCCACACCACCTCTACTCCTCCTTACCTCTCCAACCCTATCTCCATCCGCTCCGATACTCACCTCGGACCGAACACCGCCCCTCTCACCACCCTCCTACTACTCCTCCTCCTACTCTGCTCCCCCATCACAACACCTCTACCCTCCCGTCATCCTCCTACGCTTCCCCCGTCCGCTCCGATACTTGCCTTCGGACCTGACAACCCTCCTTTCTGCCACTCCTTCCCCCTTACCTTTCACCTCTCTCCTCCCTCTGGCACTCCTCCGCCACCCTTCCGCCAAGTTACGACCTTCCGCTGCTGTCCCGTACTTCCTACTCGGACACCGCTCGTACCTTCGCTCCGAGCCTCCGTCATAGTCCCAACCTCGGACTTTGACTCCACCTCAGTCTTAGTCCATTGCATTGGTGACCTCATACTATGTAAACACCATTGCCAATATCCCTCGGACTTTCAACCCCGCCTCCGCAACCTCCGTAAGCTCTGCAACCCCCGAGCTTCACGGATCACCTTCGGCACTTTCGCCACCTGTAATGTATCTCTCGCATTTACCCCTCATCCCTATTTGGACTACTGCTTCTTCCCATTCTAGCCAGTTAGTCATCATCCCCACTTCTCCTCATCTGTTAGAACGTGGCGGGAACAGACGACTCCGGAGTGGAATCGGAGACTTAGCGTGGAGGGACCTTGGCCTCAGCGACTCAAGCGGAGCGCTGTGCCATTGCTGTTTGTCCATTTGGTCCTTAATTTCACAGTAGGTGAGCAGGAAGTCTCTTGGGGGCATTTCAGGTCGATTTCGGACTAAACCAAAACGAGTATGTACAAGCGCCGATATATATAATGGAAGGGGCAAAAGCACAAGGAGGACAAAGGGTAACCGAATCGGAACGAAGACGTCCAAACGGGAACAAAGGGTAGAAGAAGCGGAGAGGTACCGAAGGTCATAAGGCAGGACCTGTGATACATCCGAAAGGAGGTAGGGAGGGCGAGGCCCAGAGGGGCAGGAGGATGAGGGGAAGTGGGGATGATGACTAACTGGCTAGAATAGAAAGAAGCAGTAGTCCAAATAGGGATGAGGGGAAAACGCGAGAATACATTACAAGCGGCAAGAGGGCCGAAGGTGATCCGTGAAGCTCAGGGGTTGCGGAGCTTACGGAGGTTACGGAGGCGGGGTTGAAAGTCCGAGGGATATTGGCAATGGTGTTTACGTAGTATGAGGTCACCAATGCAATGGACTAAGACTGAGGTGGAGTCAAAGTCCGAGGTAGGGACTATGACGGAGGCTCGGAGTAAGGTACGAGCGGTGTCCGAGTGCGAAGTATGGAACAACGGTGGAAGGTCGTAACTTGGCGGAAGGGTGGCGGAGGAGTAACAGAGGGAGGAGAGAGGGGAAAGGTAAGGGAGAAGGAGTGGCAGGAAGGAGAGTAGTCAGGTCCAAAGGTGAGTATCGGAGCAGACGGAGATAGGGTCGGAGATGTAAGGAGGAGGTGTGTTGCCAGGACCGAGGGTGAGTATCGGAACGGCAGCAGTAGGTTATGACTCCGGAGGTGAAGAGGGTGGAGGTCCAGAAGTCGGGTCGGGGTCGGGTATGCACGGATATGACACTCATCCTCCTGCCCCTCTGGGCCTGCCCTCCCTACCTCCTTTCGGACGTATCACAGGTCCTGCCTTATGACCTTCGGTACCGCTCCGCTCCTTCTTCCCTTTGTCCCCGTTCGGACGTCTTCGTTCCAATTCAGTTCCCCTTTGTTTCCTTGTGCTTTTGCCCCTTCCATTATATATATTGGCGCTTGTACATACTCATTTTGGTTCAGTCCGAAATCGACCTGAAATGCCCCCTAGAGACTTCCTGCTCACCTACTGTGAAATTAAGGACCAAATGGACAAACAGCAATAGCACAGCGCTCCACTTGAGTCGCTGAGGCCAAGGTCCCTCCATGCTAAGTCTCCGATTCCACTCCGGAGTCGTCTGTATCAGCCCCGTTCTAACAATGGGCACAAGTGGAGGGCACAAGTGTGTTTATTGAATAGCTTGAGAACTAGAGCAGCTATTGACTCAGGGTCTTTTGCATCCGGTGTAGATTATGAATACGGCCTTTGGAACATCAACGATGCCTGATAATACTGAGAAATGGGGGAGAAAACAGCAATGGCACAAGTAGGGCACGAGTGACTTGTGCCCAATTGTGCCATGGACCATTATTCATCCTGAGGAAAGCAAAAGGGGGAAAATGGCTATTCCCAATATCACTCTGGTATGGCTCCAAGAGGTAACACACTGCCTAATGGTAATCGAGGTTAAGGGCCACCCAATCAAGGGTCTTGGTTTGTTTCCCCCCTTCCAATTATTGTGTGTAGAATTGATGGTAGGTTCATAGTGCCAAAAGTTTGGCTTGCAGAGCACAGCAGGGGTTTTTTCCAACTCAACATGGGCTCTCATCTTCGTCAGGTCATCACTCAAGCTTTCATGGCATTCCATACATATCCTGACCAAGCAATAATTTATCACTCCCTTATTATTGGGGTGTACTTTTCATTGTTTGAGTTTAAGCATCCAGAAGAGCTGGAACAACTCCCTAGAGGTGCAGGTATGCTTGGTCTTCCAGTTTTCATTGCCAGAAGGCTAATTCTCTAAGGAGATTTGAAACCAATACCATTCAGACTCCTTGACCAGTCTGCAGTGCTCTCACTCATCCCTCGTGGCTGCATCAGGGTGCTTATCTTCTCCCAACCCACCCTTAATCATGATGGCACAAACATTTTTGGAATATCACCCGCTTTCCTCAGGTGCCTTCAGACATGTCTTCCATCTGGTGTGGGTCTGGCTCCATTAGGTGGTGTTGTCACTGCATTAACTTCAGAACTTGGAGTAAGTCTCATCAGCTCTGTTAGTGTAACATCAGACTAAAAGCAAGTCAGGCCCTAGAGGGAGAAAACGAGTTGGACAACTTTTACCAATCCTACAGCTCTAGTGAGATGGATTTATCCCAGTCAGAGGTAGACTCTGAGGCTGGGGACCCATCATATACACCGAGTGATCCATGATCAGGGTGGGATGCAGAAGAACTTTCACGATAACATTCTCAATATATTCCCTACCAATTCCACTTCACACTGAGACCTAATCTGTTCCGACCAATGTAGTGGACATGGCCCAACATGGGCTGGCACAGAATGCTGATTTGCAGGACACAAAGGGCAAGGGCGAGCCATAACCGATAGCCCTAGCTTAGGATGGGGGAGGGGAGGATGGTGGTGAAGAAAGTGTTGAAATTCTTGTTTCTTGGCATGCTGTGGACCATCCATTGAGTCCATCGGACTGTACATCTTACACATGGGCATTTCCATGAAGGATTGCCCCAATATGTTTTCTCCTGTCATGGTAGCCTTACTATGCCTTCCATAAAAGGAAATTCCTATATATGGTAATTCCCAATGAGGAAAGTTCCTTCTATAAAAGGAAACTTTCCTTTTTTGGTATTTCCCTTTATGGAATTTCCTTTTTGGAATTTCCTTATATAGAAAATTTCACTTTTTAGAATTCCCTATTAGGAATTTTCTTTTTTGGAATTTCCATGTATGGTAATTTTTTGAAGGGGTTGTTTTTTTTTTTTAATTTATATTGCAAGTCAGGTACAGTTGACTTACATGGTGCTTGTTATATCCACATACCTGATCCCCATTTGACTCCTGGACCATTTCCACCACCTCTGGAGTCTCAGCTCTATTCCCGTCCATTCTGATCCCCACCTTTTGATCCGACATCACCTTCTGTTCCCCTGACCCTTCCCTCCCCAATCTCCACCAAGGTTTGATCCCTGTTCCATCCCATACCCTGACCTCAGACACCACACTGTACCCCACTCTGAGATTCCTGTCTTGGTCCCCAACCTCAGACTTTGACCTCACCTCCACATAAGTCCATTGTGTGTCATATCCATACAACTCCGGACCTCCACTCCTGTTTCTGGACCTCCATCTCCTCCTCCAGAACTCCACATCCTCCTCCACCTCCTCCCCCTGTTGGTTGTTGAGAGCCCACTCTACCTCTGGCTCCAACACAATGTCCAACACTACCTCCGATCTGACTCCGGTTTACTCCAGGTCCGATCCCAACCTTGTACCTTCCAGACCAGAGTTTGTGATGCTCCATACCTCCGGCTCCGGACTCCTGTACCGGAACCCCATTGCACCTCCACCTCCGGAACTCTGGTCACATCTCTGCCTCCAGACTTTGACCTCCTCCTCGGTCTTATCTCCTTGTATTCCTTATTACATTTTGTCAAAACTTTTTGATTTTAGGCTCAAATAAATCAGAACAAAGGAATGATTGATGATCTGGATCTTGGATAATAAGCATAAAGTGATTCAGAAGTCCACAGATCTTTTAATTAATTGGGAAGACTCTAGAACATTGGTAATGATGCAGCATCACAAGATGGAGTGAATTAGAGGACAGTCTAGAAAGTTCCTTTATAGCCAAGTCATTCCTAAAGATAAATGTTTGTGATTAAGGCAGTGTAAAGCATAGCCTTAGCACTGTAAGGCCCCGCTGGGGTCAGCCTGAAAGGCAAAGGACTGAATTACCACTGGAATGTACCTGTGGTATGACAAGCTTCTCAAAAAGGGCCATCAGGTTCTTGTAATATTCGATGTATGCCTTCTCATACTCCTCTGCTGCAGTCATAAAGACATTGAGCTTGCCAAAGAATCACTTGTGGATCCTTGCTGCAGCTGTCAGAAGTTCATTATTGATGAGTCTCCAGTCCCCCAGAGGCATTTCAGGAAGGATAGCAGCCATGAACAGTGTGGATGCTGTAGACTGCTTCTCCTTGAAAGTTGTGATGGCCTGCTTGACCTCCCTCAGATATGGGACTTCATTTGCCATCACAATGTGTATTGATCTTATTGTATGGGATCACATCTGGATCCCCATTGGCCTTGCTGGGGGAGAACACAAGATGCAGATGTTCCATGTCTGCCATCATCATCTTCAATAGCTACTGATCCCCCCCCATAATAATATATCCCACAGACTTTCATCAAGGCAGAAACTGAGAACAGCCCTTTTTGTTGGCAAAAATGTTCTCCACTGCTGACCATGATCTGACATATCTCCTGCATCTCTTTGTCAAGAAGGAGTTGACAGTACTGTGAGTTGATCCTTACATCTCTCTTGAGCCAATCAGCGATGGGTGGCTTGGGAAGGCGAGAGCCTTTTGTGTTACAGATATGGAGTCTCCAACGACCATATCCATCACATAGTCAAAGACTTCCCCTCTCTACCGCTCCCCCTCTCTCTCTCTTTCGCCCTCTATCCCAATACCCTACCCTCTTTACTCGTTCTACCCCTTTCCCCCCCCCCCTCATGCAAAGCTTTCCCCATTGGGGTTTTGGTGCTGGCCAAGCTTACTTGTGTTTCGTGGGATTTCCCATGACCCTTCCATTTGTATATAGTCATGCATCTTGTACGGAAACCGCTGAAGGCGGTTCCCACTAACTACTACTACTCTCTACAACTGTCTTGTGTGTCGTCCCTTGTAACAACCCCTTCTTGTGACTCAACTGAACCTGTGTGACTGTACAACTCGCAACATGTCCTATAAGTCTGGTTATGTCGAGTCCTCTAGTGGTCCTTGCTGTGAGAACTCAAGGTCACGAGTTGAAGACTCTCGACTTGTATATCATCCTATGGAACCTGTATCCTATGGGACTTTGTCACTCAGCTCTCCCCCCAGTGCTTGACAGATGACATCATATCACAATCTTGGAGATCGTGAATACTATGAGGCCCCCATTCCCGTGATGCCGGTACGCTTGCTATGCGAGTGCCAAGTAGCCGTCCATCCATCGTCTGTTCCCTCCTTCATCAGTCATCATATTCCCTTTGGGAACGCCAAGTCACTGAAGGCCCCACTAGTCAATCCTCATTGCACGCTCATGATATCAACCCGCTACCGGTACATTTGCACTGCGAACGCCAAGTAACCAATGGCAGTTATATGAAGTTCTCACCCACCTTGCGAGTCGTGACCACGCACACGGTACGCTCCATCGAGGAGTGCCAAGTACCTGTGGCTGACCTGTCCATCCTGACGTCTCCGACTACCCACCATCAATTCCTTAATAGCTCACTACATCACCAACCACGATTGATGGGGATTCGATCGTCCACTCCCATGCAAGACTGGGATCACTCATCGATTACACATCCCATTATGGTACAGACTAGATACAACGATCATCATCCCTCTATAAGAACAGATTGAGGAAAGGGGAGCTCTCCCCATCCTCATAACATTTTGGCAAAGGTTGTTTCGCAGCACTCCAGTGCTGAGAGAATGCAGGTTTGGATTCATGGTCTGTTCACCAACAGTGATCTGGGCCCAGTATTGAAGTTGATTGCTGACAGATTCCTGAACTGAGGTGGTGTCAGTGTCACAGGAGAGGGTGTTAGATATGGCAGATTCAGATGACTCTGGAATGGAATCGGAGACTTAGCATGGAAGGACCTTGGCCTCAGCGACTCAGGCAGAGCACTGTGCCATTGCTGGTTGTCGTGGGGGTTCCTAATTTCGGATCTAGCAGAGGGGAAGTCTCTTAGGGGGGAATCAAGTCGATTTCAGACTGAGGTTACAAGTTACTAGGTACATTGTATATAAGGAGGGGTCCAGAAGCAAAAGGAACAAGGGTACTCCGAAAGGAGACAAAGGGAGCTGGAAGGAGGAACAACACCAAGGGTTAAGGGTGTGACTCAATGGTGTTTCCCAAAGGAGGAGTGAAGGGCCAAGGCCCAAGGAGGAAGGAAGGAGGATGGGAGTGGGGAATGGCTGGCTGACTGAATAGAAAGGAAGCAGCAGCCCAAATAGGAATGAGGGAGTATAGTGGAATTGAATGGGACAATGCAATAGTTGCAAGGTCCAAATTAAGTCCAGAAAGTCCGAACTCGGAAGTTAAACTCCGGAATATTGGCAAGGGTAATTAAATGGAATTGGCTAACCAATACAATGGGTATAAGTGGAGGTGGGGTCAAAGTCCGAGGCCAGAGCTAAGACCAGAGGTTCCAGAGACAGCGATGCAAACGGGATTCCAGAGTGGAGGTCCAGAGTCAGGAGCATAGGTGTTGCATGCTCGTCTGGAAGGTGTCAAGGTTGAGGCCGGACCTGGAATGTTCCAGAGTCAGACCAAAGGTGGTGTCAGAGCTGGAGGTGGGATAAGGAGAAGGTGATGGAAGGGAAGTAGGGCTCTGGAGTCAGTTTTGGAGTTCTGGGAGCCTGGAGCAGAGGTTGGGATTGTATGGATATGACAAAGGGAATGGATGACAAGGGACCCTTTGACCAGTTCCTTCTCAATGGTTTCTATCACAAGTTGGAAGGAATGAGAGAATTATTATTATTGTTATATGGTCTGTCTCTCACCTTGGTCATAGACAATGACAAGCCATCTGTCATCATATTTGTCCAAAAATGATTTTCGTTGCTTCGAAGCACTGCAACAATCATCCACAAAATCCTTCAGCTGCATGTTGTGTGGGTTGGCTGTTGATTGCTTCTCCCATGATGCCAGCTCAGTCTCAAGTTTGGGGATCTCATTGTTGCAGATCTGAAAGGCCATCTTCATGGCCTCCCAACGATGGTGCCCATTGAGGATGGGAATCATACCCACAGCACCTGCCTTGGCTCCTTCATCCATGAGACACAGGATGGGGTGCTGGTCAATAGATTGATCATCAGTGGCAGTGGTGATGAGATTGTCAGTGGGGAGCTGGATGAAGGACTTCTTGATCAGGATTGGGATCATAAAGTCAGGCAACATCGATTTGATGCCATTGCATATTAGGTCTCTGGCAATCAAGTCTGCTGCTTTCTTGTTTAGGGCATGTGTATTAATTGAGCCAAAGGTGAAGTTGCAGGGGTTGGTATGGAGGCAATAATGAAATGTGCCTAACAAGTGGCTTTGGGCAGCCTTGATGGGCCAGGAAGGGAAGTTTATTGATTCATAATGAATTTTTGTGAGCATCAAGTCAATCAAGAATGAAATTGGTGGACATATGTCAGGGGATGACTCCCGGGTCCCCATGACCCTCCCCTATGGTCCACAGCCCCATGGTGTAACCAGCCCTATCCAGGGCACAACCTACTGTGGGTAAGAAGATGAGAAGGAAGCTAACTTCTCATCTTCCCACAGTGGCCCCAATATCAGCAAAACTTCCGGGGATACCCAGAAGTCACATGAGGAATAGGAACCGGGCCCGGAGCATGTGGCATGCGGAGCATGTGGGGCGGAGCACACATGCGGGTCCGGGCACGGGTCTGAATCTGGGTCTGGATCCGGGTCCGGGTCCGGGCTAGTCAGGGTGTGTGCCCTGACATCATACATGAAAACTTTGGCCTTGAACTCAGCATTCTAAAGATCCTGCAGATCAGCAGGGAGATTGAGGGGTTTATATCAATGATGTGCCCATTGGACATGATTGCTGATTGTCATATCCCAGATCTTCCACCTCCCTCTGCCCTAGTCCTAGACGACTCCTATGACCTCCACCAGCCCTCCCAATCTCTCCCTGCTGCCTCTGGTCAATGCCAACGATCCTAGGACTACCTCCTCCTTCAACTCTCTCCCCATCTACTTCTGCATCACCTCCACCTCCTCACACCTCTTGTTCAAAGGATATGGATCTGCTGTCAGGGCACACTCGCCTGACCCGGGTCCACCTGGACCCACCCGGCCACACCACACCCACTCCCCACTGTCCAACCCTCTCCCTCCTCCTTCCTCTGTCTCTCCTCCCCTTTCCCTTCTCTCTTTCTTCCCCTTTCTTTATCTCATTCCTCTCATCTTCCTTTTCTTGTTTATTTCCTTCTATCTACACGGACCACCTTCCTTTGTATCAATGTACTATTGACCCGTCCGGCCCACACACCCCGGATGGCTCCCTGCTGTGCCCAGCACGTGCGCATGCAGCGGATGCTCTCGGGATCCCCCGCGGGGACACCCGGATGCCTGTGGCTGTCTCCGAGGGTGACGTGGCACTCGTCATGTGACTCAAGCCGCATGTACATAAATGTACCTGAAGTGGGAACCGAAGAAGTAACCTTCTTCTCACATTCTCCACTTCAGGTAAGTAGTATAGTTTTCCCTTTTAATAACAATAACACATTCTCCACTTCAGTCTAAGTGGCCAGGGACTGGTGTCCCTTCCCAGACCCGCCAGCATGCACGCCCGGTTTGCACCCCGCGAGGGCCCTTCTGCCAGGTGATACATCCAGACCCCCTCTACCCCGGACGCGTCCCTGACATCTGCTTGTTGTTGGTAACCCTCAACTTGCCTATCCACCCTCCTTACTTCTGGTCTCCATACCTCCAGCACCTCCAGTTGTGTACCTCCGGTACCTCCTCACCTCTGGTACCTCCCCACTCCTACCTTACCTCCGGTCATGTTATTCTTTATTGTTTTATCATTTGATATTTTCTACAACCCCAATCTTCCGGACTACAACTTCCGGGCTCTGGACCTTTCCAGACATCTTCCTCTGTAGTCCCCTGCTCATTCATAGACAGGCCCAGGCCTTACCATTCAGTTGGCTTCTAATCCTCCCACTCCACAAACTTCAGACATAATTTGGGCTTTTTGCCTATTCTATATTTGTCCTGTGGAATCTTTCTATTTACTTCCCCTTCCCCTTGGTAACCTTTGTTTACCTTCAGATCCAATTGTCTCTGATATATGTACATGTGTACCACTCTAGTAAATAGTTCCCCCCAGTTATAATATTAAGTCCTTGAATCCAAACCCTCTCCAGGATGTCTATTGCATTCTACTCATCTGCTCCACCCTGAACCAAGAACTGAGTAACAGGCATGTCTAAAGGCGCCTTGGTATAAAACCCAACAAATTGTGTGACGAATGATTGACCCTCGCTAACGTCTCCATTGTTAAGTAGTGAGGGGGGGCTTCTGGCCCCCTTCCACTGGCAGTTTCAGTTCCTCCATCGCCAGCCCCCCTGACAGATTGGGGACAACAAGAATGTAACAGGTGCAGCGTTCCATTCCGAGTTGCTGAAGCTGAGTCCCTTCAACACCCTGCCACCCTCAAAGCTCCACCCCACCTCCGGTCAGTCTCTGACCCACCATTGGACAACTTGGAACACCAAGCTCCACCAGACAGCACCTGTTACGGATATAGAGTCTCCAACGACCATATCCATCACATGGTCAAAGACCTCCCCTTTCCATTGCTCTCTCTCTCTCTCTTTCGCTCTCTTTCCCGATACCCTACTATCCTTACCCATTCCCCCCCCCCTTGTGCAAAGCTTTCCCCATCAGGGTTTTGGTGCTGGCTGAGGTTGTTTGTACTTTGTGGGATTTCCCATGACCTTTCCATTTGTAGATAGTCACATGTCATGTATGGAAACCACCAGAGGTGGTTCCCACTAACTACTACAACATACTATAACTGCCTTGTGCGCTGTCCCTTGTAACTGTCAGAGACACGGTGTAGGAGAAATAACGGCCACGCTATGGAAACCCATTATGGAAATATGTCAGATAAATCACAAAACCTCATACGACAAGTAGATATGAGAAAATAGAAGGACCTGAATTTTAATGAATTTTTACGAATTATTATGACTATACACGATAAATCGAAGGAAAGAAAAATAGCAAAAATACTTCAAGCTCACCATCAACGAGACGGAATTCTCGGGGGAATTTATAGCAAATATTAAACCAAGAATTAGGACAATCGACCAAGATTTGACTATAAAAATAACCAGAGAACCTCCATGGAAACTACGTTCCCACGTCTGCACACGTAGCCAAGGATGGAAGTACCACGGAACAAAGATTCCTCAGGAACTAATGCAAAAGTCAAAGTCGTGTTTATAATAGGAAATGTAGATGTCCCCCAAACGGACCCAATGAGAGTAATTACAGGGGAAACTACCCATAAACGACGGAGATATGACTAAAACTCCTGCAAAACAAGGACAATGTCTAAAAGGCAAGCGCGAAGATTAACTAGTAACGACCGAGACAAGCTTGATAACCCATTAGAAAGGAAGGGGTCTAAACTTAATCCTCCCAAAGTTTCATAATAAAAGGATCATGCGTTAATGAGATATCCAATAATGGGAATAGCGACATCAAAAGTCCGAGCTCAGGGAAAAGACGATGTTTGCATAGGATCCATAATTAAAACATACAACGAAATTTACACAGAAATTATTAAAAATGGGGAACTATAGTTATGCAAATTTTCAGCCCAAACGGTCCAGCCGTTGTGAAGTTATACCCATGACGGGAATATAGAAATCCGCATCATGTGTAATGACACGTGAGGGTGGCGATGTGCAGGGAACCGGCCGTCGGAACCGAGATCCGCACTTTGGCAGATCGCGAAGACCAATTTCCATCCAAATAAGGAAGAGCCTGGTCAAAACAAAGCACAGAAAGTGCAAAACAACCTTAGATCATGAGGGAAAAATCTTGTTAGAATGGGCGGAAACGGACGACTCCGGAGTGGAATCGGAGACTTAGTGTGGAGGGACCTTGGCCTCAGCGACTCAAGTGGAGCGCTGTGCCATTGCTGTTTGTCCATTTGGTCCTTAATTTCACAGTAGGTGAGCAGGAAGTCTCTTGGGGGCATTTCAGGTCGATTTCGGACTAAAACCAAAACGAGTATGTACAAGCGCCGATATATATAATGGAAGGGGCAAAAGCACAAAGAGAACAAAGGGTGACCGAATCGGAACGAAGACGTCCAAACGGGAACAAAGGGTAGAGGGGGCGGAGCGGTACCGAAGGTCATAGGGCAAGACCTGTGATACGTCCGAAAGGAGGTAGAGAGGGCGAGGCCCAGAGGGGCAGGAGGATGAGGGGAAGTGGGGATGATGACTAACTGGCTAGAATAGAAAGAAGCAGTAGTCCAAATAGGGATGAAGGGAAAACGCGAGAAATACATTACAGGCGGCGAGAGTGCCGAAGGCGGTCCGCGAAGCTCGGGGGTTGCGGAACTTACGGAGGTTACGGAGGCGGGGTTGGAAGTCCGAGGAATATTGGCAATGGTGTTTACGTAGTATGAGGTCACCAATGCAATGGACTAAGGCCGAGGTGGAGTCAAAGTCCGAGGTAGGGACTATGACGGAGGCTCGGAGTAAGGTACGAGCGGTGTCCGAGTGCGAAGTACGGGACAGCGGTGGAAGGTCGTAACTTGGCAGAAGGGTGGCGGAGGAGTAACGGAGGGAGGAGAGAGGGGACAGGTAAGGGGAGAAGGAGTGGCGGAAAGGAGAGTAGTCAGGTCCGAAGGTGAGTATCGGAGCGGACGGGGGAAGCGTAGGAGGGTGGCGGGAGGGTGGAGGTGTTGTGAAGGGGGAGCGGAGTAGTAGGAGGGTGGTGAGTGGGGCGATGTTCGGTCCGGGATGAATATCGGAGCGGGCGGAGATAGGGTCGGAGAGGTAAGGGGGAGGTGTGTTTGCCAGGACCGAAGGTGAGTATCGGAATGGCAACGGTAGGTTATGACTCCGGAGGTGAAGAGGGTGGAGGTCCGGAAGTCGGGTCGGGGTCGGGTATGCACGGATATGACAAATCTGAAATAAATCACAGAAGCCCATATGAAAGAAATAAACACCCACGCATATCATAAATCCCGAACAATTAAACGAAAACGGCTCCTGCATACGAACGACTATGGGAACGACGCACGTGATTACCGAATGTGTGCGCGAATCTTTGCTAACTCAACGAATACCAGGAAATAGGACACAATCTTAGTACCATTGGAAAGGTGGGAATAAATGAAATTTTATGATACC